AAGGCCAGCCTGGTCTACAGAGCGAGTTCCAGGACAGCCAAGGCTGTTATATAGAGAGACCCTGTCTCAAAAACCAAGACAAACAAGAAACAACCAAAAAGAAATAGGAACTTCATCTGCAGAAGGACAGCACAAATCACCAATGGTGACAGCCACAAGCCTGAAATCCAGGAACTTTCTTCAGTCTAATTTCAATGTTCCTGATGTTTTCTAGGGATTTACTGTACAAAATGAGCTTTAATTTTCCAATCTCATTGCAGTTATGAAAAATCATGCACAGAGGGGACACTTGGGAGGTAGAGGCAGAAGGCTCTCTCTGTGAGTTCAGACCAGTTTTGGTCTACATAGAGAGACTGCCTCAAAAAGAAAAGGGGGGAAAGAAGACTGAAAAATCACAGTAGTCTTACTTGAAACTACTAGTATATTTACAAACTGATAAAAACAAATGATTACCCAATGAGGAAACAACTACACAGGTTAATCTATGAATGTATCATGTGTGGAAATCCCCCAAGTAATAAGCATCTAGAATCTCGATATTATGTCTTGGTGTATTAATTTTCAAATTAGAGAGATGTGATCCACAGGAAAACAGTGACTCCAAGGAGGAAGTAGAGGCTGGGAGAAAGCAAGCTGAAGGGCAGCTTGTTGTTTACAAGACATGTTGCTACAGAGAGCGAATGACAACATAAAACGTACTTACAGTTTGAGATTCACGATTCTTAAAAACCATTTTTGCAACATTGAGGCCATCAATAACAATATCAAAAGGAGGACAGGAGTTTACAAACTTCTCAAATCTCTTCAGTTCCTAAAAAGGCAAAGTGAGACAGGACATGAGCAAGAGCTTAGGGGCTGGGGATGTGGGTTGGTTGGTGGAGAGCTTCTCTGCTATGCCCGAAGCCTTGGGTTTGATCCCCAGCACTGCACACACCAGGTATGCCATTCCACCCCAGAGAGGTGGAGACATGAGAAGCAGGGAGCTCAAGGTCAGCATGTTATAAAGTGAATTTAGACCAGCCCAGCCCGAGATACAGAAGACCCCGTCTCAGAACAAAACCAAGGACTTCACTGTAAACATGCTGAGGTAATTTAGCATTATTTTGATAATTGAAATATTCTTCCCCAAAAAAGCTCATTCTCCCTCCCTCCATCTCTCTTCTCTCTCACATAGAGGGGAACATGTCCCGAAATGAAGTCTAAAAAGGCTGCTCAGCTGAGGCTGGTCTCAAACTCACTATGTACTCTAGGCTGGGCGAGAACGAAGAGACCTCCTGCCTATGCCTCCTGAGTGCTGGAATTACAAGCACGTACCATCACCACTACTCTATGCTTATGACATCAAAAAGACAAACCCTCTAGCTTAATGTGAAGACAAACCAAATCAACTATGCTAAATGTCAAATGAGACGGGTGTTGCAGAGGGAAAATGAAGGGGGAAATCCCACTTCTGGTAATGACAGAATCTGTCTGTTGTACTGAGTACCCAATAATAATAGAAACTCCAGAACAAAGCAGACAGAAACTGGACAATATATGACACTGGTGATTTTAAAACGTGTCTGGAAATTCTTTGACACTACTCCTACCTCAAAAGCTGATGTTTAATTGGGCCTCCACTTGAATATAAATATGGCCTCTCTTTTGCAAGTGCTGGAATAAACGAAGTGAGACAAAAGTGGGGCTTCCTGACCTCTTGTTGTTGTCCTGGGGTGGAACTCATGGCTTTCTGCATGCTAGATAAGAGCCTGACCTAAAGCTGAGCTACATCCCCAGCCACAGGCTCTGCGACTTCTGAGAATATAAATAAAAACAGCAAAGAATCAGAGGCTCACGCCTGAACCCAGCACTGAGGCTGAGACTGGAGGATCACCATGGTCCAGTCTAGGTACATACCAAGTTTTAGGATAGCCTGGGCTATACTATAGAGAGAGCCTGTCCCACAAAAAACAAAGGACCCAAAACCCAAGTATGTATAAGGGGGTGGGGGGAGGTTTAAATATTTATGTAAAAGAGAGAAATGCTAACAATCACTGGTCTTTTTCTCTTTTTCTTCCTTCCTTCCTTCCTTCCTTCCTTCCTTCCTTTCTTTCTTTCTTTCTTTCTTTCTTTCTTTCTTTCTTTCTTTCTTTCTTTCTTTCTTTCTTCTTTTTTAGTAGACAGGGCCTCACTATGTAGTACTAGCTGGCTTGGAACTCCCCATGTCTTGCATGCTAGCCTCAAACTTTCAGAGTTGCCTCTATTTCCTAGATGCTGGGTTTAGAGGTGTGCACCCCACCACACCAGGTTTACCTCTGCTTTAAGAGGCCAAGAAACAGTCTTTTATACCCCAACCATCTCAAATTAAATTTAGTATGGCAAAAAGTGAAAAAACTGTTCTTAGTCACACTGCATACAAAATCATTTTAAAATGGATCATAGTAGGCTGAAGAGATGGCTCAATGGTTAAGTGCAATGGCTGCTCTTGCAGAAGACCCAGAACTCACATAAAAACTCACAGCTATCTGTAATTCCTGTTCCAGGGAATCCAACACCCTCTTCTGGCTTCCTTGGGCACCATCATACAAGTGGTGAATAAACAGATTCAGGCAAAGCCCCCCCCCACACACACACACAATGATATTTAAAAGTAAAACTTCCATTTGGTAACAAAACCAACTAAATATTGGTTTAGTTGGAATAGTAATAGGAATAGTAATTTTTATAAATAAAAGTAAAGTATCAAGGAGAACTAAAAGTTTCTATACAATATTGAATGAAAAAAAAAGAAACAGAAAGGAAAGGACATGACTCCTCCTAGGTAAGGTGTAGGAGAAAGTTTATTATGGGCATGTGGGAGAGCATAGGCAGAGGCGGGGACATCTGGGACAGTCCAGAGTGGTCATGACCCTGAGCCATGTGAGGAGAGAGAGGAGAGAAGGAATGGGGTACAGTAACCAGGAGGCAAAAGATACAAGGGGTAACCCAAATGGAAGGGCAGCCCGGCCTGCGGGCTGGACAGTTCAGTATAGAAGACAGGGTACGCCAGCCTTACCCTGTAACAGGTGGTGACTGAGGGATGATGGGAGAACCTGGAAGCTAGGTCCGCTTTGATATGTTAAGAAGGCACCTCAGCCGTTTGTTCCAGGTTTGAAAATTAACAAATATGATTATTATATTTTGTTTGTTTCTGCCCATATACAGCTAAATAAACCAAAGGAAGCAAGGCAAGTGCATTAAATTGCTAACACTGAAGTTTTCCTAAGAGGCTATATCTAATATATCAGGAGGATTAGTAGGAGTATGGGACCAGCCTGGGGCTGTACAATGAGTTCTAGGCCAGCATATCTAAATTTAAAAAAAAAAAAAGTGTCACTGGTAATCAGCAGAGAAAACATTTCTCATTACACTGTACATGTCAACTATCATTTTGGTGCTATGCTTAGTAGCACATCGTGTCTCAGTAGTAATAACAAACAGGGACATCACAATGTGTCTCTGGGGGAAAAAAAAGTTAGAATAGATAACTTACAAACTCCCCCTTCCCATTCTGATATTGTGGTATTCAGAGCAGTTGGAAATTCCTTAAAATTACAGACCTGGAAAAGGTCTGCCTGACACTGGCTATGGGAAGGGTGACTCTCTGGGTGTATCCTAAAATCCCCGGCCAGAGATTATCCTCCTGGTCCACACTTTCTACTCAGAGAAAAAAAGATCCAGAATCCTGGGCTGCTCTTTCACACCCACTGTTCACACCCACTGGTACACTGTCAGTTAGGGTTCCATGGCAGTATTTCATAGGTGCCCCCGAAACTCACGTGGAGTGAAACAGACCTAGCTACTTACCTACCTATCTGTCTAATTATTTGTTGAGAGAAGGTCTTTGGATTATGTAGCTCTGGCTATTCTGGAACTAGCTATGTAGATCAGGCTATCCTTGAACTCACAGAGATCCATCTGCTTCTGTCAATGAAATATATTTATACTTTTGAATTCAAAAGCCACCAGGGGGGCTGGAGAGATGGCTCAGAGGTTAAGAGCACTGGCTACTCTTCCAGCGGTCCTGAGTTCAATTCCCAGCATCCATATAATGGCTCACAACTATCTGTAATGAGATCTTGTGGCCTCTTCTGGCGTGTAGATATTCATGCAGGCAGAACATTTATTTACTATGTATAATAAATAAATCTTAAAAAAAAAAAAAGAAAAAGGCCACCAGGTAGCTAGTGCAGATAAGGCATGACAAAAAAAGAGTCGGCAAAAAAGAGTCGGCCTACTGAGACAGCACACACCAAAGACAACATTGAGAACTACAAGTCTGAAAGCTCAGCAGCTTTCATGGAAGGCAAATTTGAATAGAGCTGAATGTGTTGGTGCAGGCCTGCAATCCCACCATGGTGCAGGCACAGGCCTGCAATCCCACAATGGTGCATGCCTGCAGTCCGACCATGGTCCAGGCCTGCAATCCCACCATGGTCCAGGCCTGCAATCCCACTATGAAGCATGCCTGCAATCCCACCATGCACATTGGCCAATGATCTAGGATATAAAAAGTCTACCCATACATTAATCCTTTATTTCTTGACTATCACTAAAAAACATTTTTTTTCATAACATGGTTTAGTAAGATATAATTAATATGCCATGGCATTCATCCATTTGAAGATACAATTTGAAGATATTATACAATTGGTTGTATAATAACACCAAACTACCTGTCTTTTCTAGAAAAAAGAGAGAAAGAGACAGAGAGAGAGAGAGAGAGAGAGAGAGAGAGAGAGAGAGAGAAGCAACTGAAACTCGGTGACAGTTAATGCATACCCCAGCACACTCTAATGCAACTGGTAACCTACTTTTTGTCTCCTTGGATTTCCTATTCTGAGTACTTACTCTACACCTAATCATACATGCAACAGAGGTTTTAGAAAGTGGCTTCTTTCACTAGAATGATATTTTCAATGCTTATTCATAAGTCAACACTTTAACTCTTCTTACTGCCACACAAAGTTCCACGCTATGGCTGTTACTGTGTGTACTTACTTATTCACTCAGCAGCTGGGGAGCATTCTATTCTTTCCACTTGGAGCCACTAACGAATGATGCTGCTGTGAACACTGGTGGACAATTTTGCACAGATATTCATTCCATTTCTTTTGAAATACCTAGGAGTCCATTTGTCTGGTCACATGCTAATTCTATGCCAGACTATTTCTAAAGTGGCTGTCCTGTTTGACTTTTCTAACTGTAACATGACGTTCCAGTTTCTCCAGAGCCTCCCCAACCTTGGGTGCTTTCTGGCTGTATTATGATCATGCTCATGGCTATATTGATATGGAATATCTTTCGTGTGTTCACTGACATACAAGAAGCCTTTCTTTTTTTGCAACATATGGGCTTCATAAAACTAGCATGTGTGTGGACCAAACCAAGCCCTCTGAATGTGGGTGCCAGTTAGGAGCCCTGGGCAGTGGAACCTCTGACAGTGGAACCAGTATCTATTCCTAGTGCACAAATGGACTTTGGGAGCCCATTTCTCAAGGAGGGATACTCTCTCAGCCTAGATACACGGGGGAAGGCCTAGGTCCTGACCCAAATGAGATGATAGATTTTGATGATCCCCATGGAAGGCCTCACCCTCCTAGGGGAGTGGGTGGAGGGTGACATAGGGGGGCTGGTGAGGGGCATGGGAGGATGGGGGGGAGAGAGAACTGGGATTGATATATAAAATAAGATTGTTTCTAAATTAAATAAATAAATTTAATAAAAAAAAAACTACCATGGACGGCACAATATTTTGCCATTGTTTTAGTTTTGTTTTTTCTATATTCTATG